TCATGCGACTCGACGGAATCACACCCGGTTTCGATCCCTGCTGCAGAGCAGTCAATTATTTATAAGCGCTGTACATGGCAAATCGCGTAGTATTCACCTATCCCGTCATCGACCACAGTCGGATGCGCCGTGAAGCTCCTCCACTTCTAGCTCGTAACCCACATTCGTCGATCGTCGAGAGATCCATACCGGCGCGACGAATTCTCTTAGCCGCGGTCTCTTTCCGCCTGTATACTTCCCGAGGATTTATATGGTTATCGAAGTCTCGCGGCGCACCGGTTACCTCATATTCGTCTGCAGCTCTCGAGCCGCGATAAAACTTCCCCGGGTCGTTCCCTATGTTTTCGTATTATTCTTCCCTCGCTCGCTTGACGCCTGTTGCTCGCTCGTGGCGAATCCGCGTCGTTTTATCACTCGATGTCAAACTTGCCGCGCGCGTCACAGAATTCATGACTTTCTTTATGTTTAGGTAGGAACGAAGTGACTTATGTACCCAACTTCGCGAGAAATGTAACGTACGGACGTCCACGAAACTGTCTGAGATATCAGAAATGCTTCTAGATTGACGGGCGCCGTGCAAAAATTGAAGGGCGTACACTCGCCGTCGAAAAGGTTGTCTGATTTTTTTAAAGTTAGTAGTTTTTTAAGTCTCGGAACCTATCTGTCCAATAAAAGAATTTATTTTAATAAAAAAGCTCTCTCATTGGACAAGAGACAGATAAGTTCCGAAACTTACAAAAAAAACCTTTTCGACGGCGAGTATACACGCGTATGTGCTACATACACGCATCGCATGAAGTGCGTCGGTTAACGTAATCGATATGTCAGAGAATCGACTATCGAATGGAGATGCGTCGCGAACTTCAATGTGATCGAATTGTTCACTCCCCGTAACCAGGGGTTTCCCGTATTCGCAGAGATGCAACTCGCGAGGACCTCGCGAGTGCAAAAGGAATGACGGGGCGTGGCGCTTCTCGGCTCTGATTTACGGCCAGTTAAGAACCGCATATTATCGCCACGTACAACTAATCCTTCCCAGTGTATTTCTCTCCTCCGCCCCCTTCCCCATGTTCCATCTGTGCGTCGTCTCACCCTCGTTCTCTCCAACTACCCCTGACCCTCTTTCACACCGGTCACCCTCTCACTCTCCTTCTCTCTCTTTCCCCCCTCCCCCTTTCGCGTTTTATACCTCTTCCCGTCCCCCTCGGCCGCCCTTCTCTCCCTAACCATCTTACCTCTCACCGTCCATCCGTCTGCTCCCCCTTTCTCCCGCGCTATCCTCCGCGCTTTGCCCCGGTCTCTCGCCTCCTTTCTCCGTCGCTCCCGGTTCCTCTTGTTCCCGTTCTCTTGTCGATTCAACAAGTGCCCGGTCACGCTTCGCAAATATCGCACGTAAGAGGAGGAGACGCCGAGATTACGACCGCATCCGTAGCCGGTCCGCGCGCGCTCGTTCGCCGCGAGATACGCCGAAATTTCCAAGTACTCCCGTCCTCGGAGAGACGGAAGGGAAAAAGAGAGATCGTCCAGCTGGGCGATCGATGGGCGACGGCAAATCTCGATCAGTTGACGAAATCGCTAATCCATCACGCCGCGTACATCCCCGATTTTGCAAACCTATCGCTTTACTCGATGTACATACACATTCGCTTTCATGATACACTAAGAGATATAGCGTGTATGTAACGTAGATACTATATCAAATTACATATGGATTCTTGGTGATAATCTGAAACTTGCATTTGTATCGTATAATTTCGGTACGATAACTAAAGTGTTCGCACGACGCAATCAACAGACGATAAACGCGAAGTAAAACAGAAATACGGAGGTTGGTATCACTAGAGTTACATGCACGACGATAAGTGAATTATGTCAAGCGGGCATACGACGTCATTTTGCCTTGAAGTGTATTCCAGATTCGAAGTGGCACGAATTCCGTCTGATTAAATTCGAAGACTCATCTGCGATTGGTCCGGCGTGCGTTGTAAGTCGAGAGATACGTTTCTTCAAAACTACGCGGATCAAGTTCACCCGCCTATCTAAAATTGTCCAAGATTCGCACAGGGATTGTCGCGCGACAAATAATTATTTCGAATGTAACGTCGCTTTTGCTCGAAAAGAAGAGAATACCGCGGGCGGAGAAGGAACAGTTATCGTTTCCTCGACGTTAGAGAAGGCGAGATCAGATCCGCCGTGTAGTTTTTCCTTTATCACGATTCCACGAACGTTCCTCGGAGCTCGGAGCTGACCGGTTGACCACGTCGCGTTGGAAGGAGAATCTCCGCGAGCGAGTCATATTCCAAGTAGGCCGCTACGGCCGGCCACGGCGGATGTACGCGGTCGCAAGAGAGCAAGCCGTTGCCGCTAGAGACATTCGAGTCAGACCAGGGACGTAGCTATCATAAACGTCGCCAACAGAAACGGTTAAAAATCCGAACGAGCCGTTATCTTGACTGAAAAATCCAACTGAGCCATTTTCAAGGGAGCAGAATTACACGCAAGGCTTATTCCGACCGATTATTCGACCAGTGAAAAACACGACACGTTGACGCACAATCGCGCGATAGACGTCGAGATCGACGTCAACGAAAAAGAAATCGCGATAACACGCCGAATCATTGATCTCACCGAATTGATCGAAATTTCTTGCTGGGTTAATCCATCGAATAGATCGCATCGAGAATGCAGAACGTGTTTGCAGAAGCGGCAACGTATCGCACGTCATATTGGTCGGACCAACTCCAAGTCCTCCAGTAGTCGTTGTTCACAACAAGCTCGGTCGTCATCGTGACTACACCGCTATAGCCGCGCCGTGCTATCAGTGTTGCTCGAGGCGGCGTGGTAGTGACGCGCGGAAGCCGAGTTCGATGGAAACGCGGTGACGTCTGTTCCCCTGCGAGCGAATCCTATTAGATCGCTTCTCTCGTTGTGCTCGCGCACGAAATTCTGCACGAAATGTTCGCGCGGCTTCGTTTATTCCCCATAAACCTCCGCGGGAATGCAAAATCTCTTTATCTCTCTTTATCTTCCCCCTCCCCTCTCTCTCTCTTTTACTTTCTACGTATGTCCATATGAAAATTAATGAAACTTAACGCTGTTAACGTGCGCACGATATTATAACGTGGCGCAAAACGGCCAGCGCCCGTAGCCGCTTTTATCAGCTTGCGCTCGTGAAAAGACGTACTACGTCAACAGCTCCCAACTTTTCAAAACAGAAAGACGTGGTGTTACATCACCAGTCGGCACATAAAAGCGCCGTGGAACCTCCGCACCGTCAACGGACACCGTAGAATAATACTGTACGGTAGTTATCAACATTTTTTTAAAGCTGCGTGTCGCGTAAAGAGAGAGAAAGAGAGAGAAAGAGAGACGATGTATTTTCCTCGAGAGATCTGGAATTTTGTAAGGGAACGTTTGAAATAGGAATCGCGTCTGCCACTATTTCTAACGCAAATTTATGAAAGTTGCGCAAATTAACGAAGTTCGGTAAGTGGCAATTCGCTCGAAAGTCGCACGACTGTTCAAAGACGTTAATCGACTTCACTAACGAGATTAATCGTACGATTATGAGGAGGATCCTACATCACGTTCTTTTCCTTCCTTCAAGTTTTGAATTTCACGCAGCACCGCCGCCGCTGTGTTTTACCAAGAAGCGAGTTTCATCGTCTTCATCATCATCATCGTCGTCGTCGTCGTCGTCGTCGTCGTCGTCGTCGTCGTCGTCATCGTCGTCGTCGTCGTCGTCGTCGTCGTCGTCGTTACCCTTTCGACCGACCTTGCCAACGTCGCTTGTCACTTTTTCCCAGTACCCGTCAGCAGTCCCACAACCACCCTCTCTCCCGCCTACCCTTTTTCCGTGAAATCAAACGTCATGTGGAGGCCACGTGGACTCAACCGGCGGACGAACGTGTCGCCGGTGACATCTCACGGCATCTCCAGGCACAACCGAGCGCAGTACCACGAGTGGCGATACACCGTTTGTCCCTCCTCTGGCCCCCCTGCCCCTCAGCCCCTTTGCCATCCCTTCTCCTCCCCCGATTTCGGCTTCTCTTTCTCACGCTCGCGAGTGCGCGTTCTTGCTCGCGCCAGCGGAGAAACGCGCGTCTCTCCGTCTCCCGAGGTGAGCAAGGGCTGGAGGGAGGAACGATTATTTACTTACTTTCACTCGCGCGACCTCGTACGCGCGTAAATCATCCACGGCTGCGTGGGTACTGTGCTTTCGTAGGGTCGCGGGTCGCGGGTCGAGGTACGCTCGAGTGCGACCCGCCCTGCGACGACGATCGACGGCCAAACTTCGAAAAATTATAACTCATCGTATTTGCGTCGCCTCTGAAACCACTACATATGATTTTTTATAATGAACGAATGAAACTCTGCGTCTGACGACATTTAACTACGAGTGTTTTTGTTGCGAGCGATGTCTCTTCTTATTCAACTCTCCCAAATGGTCCTCGCTTTAACAAGACTCTAATTTTGTTAACGATAGGTTGATTTATATTAAAGAAAAAAAAAAACTTAAAGTTTTGTCGGGAGAAAAATTAAGTTTTCTTTGTCCTATTTACGAGTTTCTCTATCACAAATAGTAACCAGCGGTAACGTTTATAAGATACTGCTGGAAGCCTGCGGTCGAGCTTGTTCGCCGGCAGCGATCGTCCGCGTTCCGCTGATGATTTCTTCCATGCAGCAAAGTTAGCGAGTCGCGTGACGTCACTTTTTCATCGTTCCATCGGAGTGCCGAGCGTCTGAAGTCACGTACACTCTCGTCCGCTACTCTTTCGCCTGTGAGTGTCGCGATACAAAGCTCCCACTCGATATATTATTGCATTAATATCGTCGAATACATAATAAAACGCTGATACCCTCAAAACATCCTTACGGCAGCTTTTCAATCGCAACAGCGAAACCATAAATAAAAATTAACTCTTTTTCCATAAGCAGTCTTAGATATATGTATGAGAAGTCGCAACAAACTAACTTGGCGATTTTATGCATACTTTCAGAGTTGTGCAATGATGGGTCTGCAGGCGACGGCAGGAAAACGCAAATTGGAGGGAGGTGTTGGCTGCATGGAATTCCACATGGACATAGGCGAGAGTCCGTCGAAGCTCGGACGCGTAGAGGGTAGCTGGTGGGCGATGGACGATAGTTACGGACCGCCCCTGAACCAGACGTCGACGTCGTATTACGAGATGGAGATAAACTCTCCGTGTCTACCGGCGAACCCGTGCCAGCCCACGTCGACGAGCTCCTCTCAGCAACAGCAGCAGCAACAGCAGCAGCAACAGTCGCAACAACACCAACCACATCATCCATCTTCCCAGGCGCCGCAACAGGCGCAACAACAGCAGCAGCAGCAGCAGCAATCGCAACAGCAGCAGCAACAATCGCCAGCAGCGTCATCGTCAACGTCGGCTTCGTCCACGGTGACGCAGTTGCATCACCACACGCAACATTACTATCACCACCAACGTGGCACCGTTAGTCCCATCGGTAGCAACGGCTACAGCCAGCTGTCGAGATCTCAGCCCCCTCAGTGGGGCGCTCTTCATCACTACGAGCCACCGACGATACGTCGTGAGGAAAACGGCAAGAGCTATCTGGAACTTGGTTCGAGTTATCGCGCAAACGAACGATGTTGCGAAGGTTCCAAGTCTAGTTGGTGCCGGCGTGGGCGAGCCTGTTATCGACAACGACGGCTCGCTGTGCTCAACATCTCGATGTGCAAACTCGCCAGGTACCGACAGTTCCCGGATCCGAGTCTTCACCGGTCGGTACTGATCTGCAACACCCTGAGACACCTCGAACGCGAGATGGAAAGGGATCGTAGTCCGCCGCCCATGGAGCCGGTCGTTCCGGTGCCCATTGCGCAATTACAACCACCCGAGCAGGGCAGGCTAACGCCTTTCCCAGTACCGCCGACGTCGTCCGGGGAAACCGATGTCGACTCCGGTATTGGCGACAGCGACGACAGCCGATCGATCAACTGGGGTAGCGTGCTCTCTCTGTCCAGCCAGTCGCCGCTGGATCCGCTTAACAACAACGAATTACTGGATGTGGACATAGGTCCCGATCTCGACTTGGACTTCATGCCTGGCTGGAAGCTGACTCCCCTTCAGGCGGACGACATCCTGAGGACAACGACGACATCTCAGGAGCAGCATCACCACCACCACCATCATCACCACCATCACCACCATCATCAGCATCACCACCACCAGCAGCAGCAGCAGCAGCAACATCTAATGTCGTCGAGCAACAGCTGCGGCAGCAGTTGCGGCAACAGCAACGTCGGTAGCGCCGGCGTCAGTAGCGGTAGCAGCAGTAGTACGCACGAGTCGTTGATGTGCGTGGGATCATAGCCCTCGACCTTGACGTCGTTGAGTCACTTAATCGATTTCTATCCGCTGACGCCGCAGGGCAAGTAGACATCCGCGCTTACACGCCCGCGGGTCCACGAAGACGCGGGTGAAAGACGATGGTGCTGACGGCTCGCCCTCCCTCCGGTGCGCTCGACGTACTGCCGGCGACTCTCGAGGAGCCACGTTCTACTCTCTGTTTTGCGTTAATTTATTGTCGCGTCAATTACGTACATCCGCGTAGGACACACGTACACCACATACACATATGAACACATACCAACACACACACACACACACACACACACACACACACACACACACACACACACACACACACACACACACACACAACCACACACACACACAACACACAAATACACGCCGACCGATCTTCTGTGACACTTGCGTTCTTCCTTCGTTCCTCTTACCACCGCTATTACTATTACTACTACTGCTACCACCGCTAGTACTCTAAATCCTATTACTCCTATCGTTACCACTATTTCTACTACTACTATCGCCCGCGACTACTTATTACTATCGTTACCGTTACTTCTACTACTATCGCTACTATTGCTAGTACTACTGTTATTACTATTACTAATACTACTACGATTACTACTACTACCACTATCGCTAATCAACGTGTCTCCCGTATTTGCTCCCCGAGGGACGGACGCGTCATGACACGCGACGTTCGCAGGTGCAGTCGAGATATAGAGCATTCTGAGAACTTAACGAACGGGTTAACGGGGAGAGAAAAGAAGAGAGGGCGACGGAGAGATAGGGGGAAGGGAAGGGAAGGGACCGTCAGCGAGCCAACAGGTGCTGCTACTCGCGTTGGATGATCCGGTATTCTCTCGGCAGAAATTCGGCCGGCTTTCGTATCGAGCTACCGCGCAACGAGACGACGAAGAGCCCCGTGTACCATCTTCGCCGCCGTGGAATTCCGAGAACAGGTGCGGACATGGCTTGCACGTACCTCGCGAAATCGGTCGTAGCAAAATTCTTTAGAAAAATCGATTGATCGGCACCGAGTCGACCTTCCGATAAGTGCACCATGATGATACAGGATTTGCAATTACAGATTCGATACTGTCCGATCGCGACTACTCGAGAACCGAGGTAACGTTGCTGCAGTTACACCTGCAAGCTCGGCAGTCCATGTGCGAGTTCTCGAAGAGAGGTTTAAGACGCACGGGAAATATCCGGAAGAATTGGAGAGGACACAGAGAAGAGAGCGGGAGGGAAAATTGTCTCGGGGTTATCAGGCTCCGCGTCGACGAATGCGCGAAGGCTACCTTTCCAGGACTGAAGGACGACGCGAGCGTTACGATCTGCGTGTTTCGGCCCGAGGAATCTTCTCCCTCTCGTTCTCGTTTGCAAGTTGCACCCTGACGTTGCTCGAGAAGGCCGACCGGGATTCTTTTTTCACGGAACGACACTTGACGTTGAAGCCTTCGAGTTCGGGAGGATTGCGAGCGATTAACAATTAACGCAGATGGTACACAAATTGCGCGCGCGCGTATACGCATGGATACGACACACTACACCAACACACACACAAGTATATACGACCGCCGTATGCCTATATGATACGCACGACGCACGGATAAACACGCAAGTCGTACGGTGCTACAGGGCGGCTGCAGCCTGGTGCTTCTCCTCTTTAGACCTACAGACACGTACACACATACACCACACGCACATATGCAGACACAGAGCTAAATTCGCGTATCGAATTCGCACGGATCGCTCGCAGCGTCCGTCGCTCGGGGTCGTCGTGACGCGTCCTGCCGTCGTAAGCGTGACACGATGTAAGTAGGAGACGTCGGCGTCTCGATCGAGGAACTCATTCCGACCGCACCACCTTCGGTTAGCGTAAATTCTGCTTCGTTGTCTCGCCTCAAATGTCGGGGTCACGTGCGTTTAACAAGACGCAAGGAAACATCGCATAGGTAGAGAGCTCTCTTTACTTGGCACGGATGCTGATCAGATTCTGTGACATTGTTAAAACATAAATACTCGACTCTGCGTCATTCTTGTGTCGTCGGTACGCGACATCGGATGAAAAAGAGAGAGCTATTTTGTAGCGTACATCGAAACGTAACGAACAGAAAATCTCTGACCCAGAGTAGGGTGACCTCAGATTGTTGGTGCGGCTCGGCCTCGGTCGTTTGCACGTTCTCGCGAGCGAAGAAGAAAAAATGAGAGGGAGAGAGAAGGAAACGAAGCTTAAACAGTTGCGCTAGAACTACGAGACATATTTGGACTGTGTGATAACGCGTTTAACTAGCGAGCGTAGCGCGATGAGCACATCAGATCAGAGATTATTTTCATACAGCAATTATAAGAAAGATCATATTCTTAATAATTATTTTGTCCACCTTTATTTATGACAGATATCTATGCACATACGGATATAAAAGTACAAATGATTACGATATATTTTTCCTTCTTGTTTTAATGCGATGTGTGATTCATCGCGCGAACACTCACTAGTCGGTGACGGCGGTTTACAACCAAGAAGAAATTATTTAGCAAGTGATTATATTTATTTCAAATTATTTCAACATTCTTTTAACCATATAAGACGTTACTTTCATGCCTAATCGCATGTCGAAATATGGAAATTAAACATGCAAAGTAGTCCATTAAGTTCTGAAAGTCCATTATGCTCCAACGCAACTGGTTAATTCTAAAATGTATGACTTGGACCAATGTAACCCAGCCACTATTTTAAAACCTGCATATTGACTATTTCATCAGAGTGACTATCGACTTATGATCTTCTCGCGTAAAGCAAACGTATGGAAAAGAGATATCGAAGTGTTTCAAAAAAGAAAATATCTCTTGCGTCAAAATTGTATGACATGTAATTATGAGGCAAATCGCTCTACTAAAAATAATATTCTTCGCGAAATTGATTGTTCTGCAAAAAAATGCACTTTTTGAAGATATGAATCACTTGTTTCCATCAAAGGAAGAACTGTGTCAATTAAAGAAACCACGAGCAGTGGCAAATTGTGAGCAGGGTGCGACTGGTCGTGTCATGCCTTCGTATGTATGAATGTGTATATGTGTGTGTATAGTGAAGTAGCTGTGACGCATCCCACAAGGACATAAACGCGATCACGGAGACGCCGACATCTTCACGTGGATATCTTGTGTCTCGACGTGCGACGTCGACAAATGTACCTGCATTTTAGAGATCGGGGTAACGTTCTCCCCTACGGATCGTCGCACGGTGGCCACTGCGCGCCACTGATCTCCCACTAAATGTATCATATGTACACATATAAATAAACTAGAAAGTGGCCGGCGTGCGCGCGCGTAAAGGAGGCGAGAACGCTCGAGAGTTAAGGTGTCGATTTTTAAACACACTCGCGACCCCGGACGCATCTTCGCGTGGATCCGTGCGCGATCTCGCCCTCAACGTCCACGAATCCATTCAAGAGCAGCTATACTTAAAAGGAAAACAGAAAAAAGCTAAACGATTTAAGAAAGTCTAACATTACGAAGAGAGTATAATAACTTATCGACTCGACTGATTACTTAAACGAGAGAGTGAACGTATACGAGTGAACGGATGAGTGTATGTACGTATGAGAAAGACAGAAGCGAAGAATGCGTGCGTGTAAAAAGGAAAATATTGTAACTATATCACGATACATACATATATATATAGAGTTGATCTAAACTGTAATTATATATATGATGTTCTCTCTTTCACGATGACACGAACACGCATACACGACACACTCGATATACACACATACAGACATACGCGAGATATATTAGATACTTGTTGTAAATATATACATACACATATACACATATATATATATATATGTACACATATATATATATACACATATATATATATATATATGTATATGTATATATATGTATATATATATGTATGTATATATATATATATATATATATATATATATATATATATATATGTGTATGTATAT